ATCTTACTTATTATTTTCCTTTATCATTCTTGGTTAAAATTAACAGAATCGCATAATTTCACATTTTTGGGCTCAGTTTGCATAATTTCAGAAGTTTTCTTGCATACAACGACGGGGACAGATAAAAAACTCATCATAATTAAGTATTAAGCAAAACACCGATAACACAGGGACCTCAAACATTCTCAAGGGTTTTTATCTGTGCTCACTCTATTTATAGCCTATATTCCTCCTTGTGCAGAGATCATCACAGGATTTATCATTTGTATAGAAAGAAAGAGCACAAACTTTTGCAACCCACAGTACAACAGCCGCTGTATGTTTGTTCTGTTTGTTTGTTTTTTGTTGGTGGGTTTTTTTTTATGATGATGACAATAATTATTAGGCAATTTTAACATATTGATGCGACTTTTTGTGGGGTAATAGTTAACAAAAATATACGGACTTGTACAATGTCACAAAAGAATACTTACAGCAGTGCATGAAAATGAAAACCATTGGGGTGTGAGAAAGAATTGGCAAGGTACCCCATTTAGAATGTACCTCTTCAGATCATAAAGAACATGTCACCATTAAAAATTTGCGAAAAAGGGAAAAGACTTTCGGCTAATCTATTCTAAACAACAAGGGCTACAGGCAGCATTTTTGTTTATCTTTCGGCAAGTTGACTACCCCAGATAATAAAAACATCTCTTAAATAAGTCGCTGTAACAGTAATTAAGTACTATAATTACTATTCAAAGAAAGTAGGCCTGCCCCATAACATGATTGCCTACGAGACCAGGATTTCTCCATTATAAAGCCTTAAATTTTAATAAAGGTAGTTTTTTTCCCCATCTCACTTTCTAATTTATGATTTTGTCATTTAATGTAACTCCAAAGTTAAAGATGACTCAAGCACACTAAGAAACATCAATTTAAAGGAAGAGATACCTTTACTGGTATATCGTTACATAATTATGCAGGTCAGTTCAGTCTCATTTACATATATATATGCACAAAAATTTCCTCTTAGAGTGGGAGTTTTATAAATATTTTCATGCCCCTGTACTGTAATTTGGCAACTTGTCTCCACAGGAGGCCACGTTATGGCATGCCAAAAAGGAATATAAAATAATTTGACTGAGCATATATAAAACAAAACAAATCTTCCTGCCAAACTTTGACTTTGACTCCCAGAATAACAATTTGCAATTTGACAGGCCCCTCTTTTTCTCTTATATTTCAGGCATTCACATGACCTCTGACCTATGACTATAATGGTACTGTTTCAAGACCAAGCCATGTGGGCGGTTGGCGCAAGTAAGTGCCAGCTAGGACCGTTGAAATAAATTTGGCAAAAGAGCACTTTTATTCTGTCGGGTTGACATCTGATGTTGCTGTTTTTTCGTGTAGACATGATGTTGAAAGCGTTGATTATTTTCTGTCTTAGCACAGGATTTTTTTGTCAACCTCGGCTAAAATTTGACCCTTAATTTCTATATTATTATCAATTAAGTTTTCTCTTCTCTGCCATCATGAAAAGTACTCAGTATCAATTATAAAAGAATAGGATAATATTGTGTGCACCTTGTTTGGTGTCGAAGCAAGAGAAGGAAGAGTGAGTGAGAAAGAGAGAGTGACACTGATGAGCCTTCCCACTATTAAAATAAAACTGCTCTTATGTCAGATCCCGACGCGATAATGATAATGTAACAACCAACACTGGTCAGAACACACCACCCCCCACCCTCATGTGTAATCCATGTAGTCACTTCCCAATCCATGACCTCACGTTCAAACAATCACATACACACACTCGTACAAACATAATTCACACACCATATATATATATAGAAGGCCCACTGCAGCTCCACATTATATAATGTCTTCAATCACATCCCGTTGCCCACCCACAACCCAAATTCGCAAGGACTAGATTCAAGGAAGTTGTAAAGCTACAGGTAAATATCTCATAGATGCAACGATACACTTGACACTTGACGAGATACTAACACTAACTGTGTAACAGTGTGTGTATCATGCTGTGCGGGGGTGAAACTGGTGAGCTCATGTAACCCGATACTCTTGATGATGATGATGACGGGTGTGTTTGTTGTCCTATCAGATCAAGTACGCAGGGCAATTGGAATTCGAGACGATTGCCAGGAAAAATTTGATCAAGTTATTTTTTTCTTTTTTCGACAAGCTGTTTGACAAATGAGTAATGATGTATGCAGGTGTTCATTGAGAAAAACAGTGGTGCCAGTGCTGTAAATCAGATAAAAATGCACGTAAGAAAAGAATTATTTAAATATCTGAACATGATACGGGTGTGAAAAAGTAAAATAGTATCCACTATATATATATTATATTATTCTGTCTCCGCGGTTTTATGCACCCCGCATAATTTAGCAAAATTTGATCATTTTTCGCATAATTTCTTATTATTTTCCTTTATCATTCTTTGTTAAAATTAACAGAATTGCGTAATTTCAGTTTTGTGCTCAGTTTGCATAATTTCAGAATTTTCTTTACATAAAACTGCGGGGACAGATTATTATAGAATCTATTTTTTTTTTCGAAATTAAAGAAACATTTTTTTAATTAAAAATCAAGGCGG